CATACCAACCCCATGTGACAGAGCAGAACTGCCCCATAGGCTTGCCTAGGCTATAATCTTTAAGGAAGCAAATCGACAGTCTTTCCCCTGCAGAGATGTTGGGTGGGTGTGAACTGCCAGCTTTGTGATTAGCAGCCGAGTGCTTAACCCCTGCGCCACCAGGGTTCCTTATTTGGCACTTACCACATACTAATTTGGATTTTATTTAAAGGTTTAACTAGCTTATATCTTGGTTCCCCAACTACACCACAGGCCTCTTAAGGGTAAGAAATATATCTAAAACTAACTCTTTTGTAATTTTTTTAAAAATTGAAAAACACAATGTTATGAATCAAACTGTCCTCCAAAATATGTGTTGTAAATCCTAACCACTATACCTGCGGTTATAATCCCATTGGGGAATGGGTTTTCTTGGTTATGTTAATGAAGTAGTTTTAGTATACGGTGTATCTTAAATCAGTCTCGTTAGAGACATAAAAGAGCAGATTAAGCAAGCAATCGGAGATGGGGGAGATAGATGCCAAGCCACACGAAGATCACCAAGGAGCCAAGGAATAAGGACCTTCCCCCAGAGCTGACAGAGAGAAAGCTTTCCTCTATAGCCAGCACCCTGAGTTCAGACTTCTAGCCTCCTATACTGTGAGAAAATAAATTTTCTGTTCATTGAAGTCACCCACTTTTGTTATTTCTGTTACAGCAGCACTAGATAACTCAGACACACATTAAAAATTATGCTAAACTTATTATGCACATAGTTTAAGGAGTAATAAAACAAAACACCCAGGCAGCCACCACCCTACTTAACGAAGTTTCTTAGAAGCCCCATATGCTTCTTCCCTGCTGACACCCTCTTTGTCCACACTGAAGGTAACCATTACCTTGCTTTTTGGGTTTTCTTGGGTTTTTTTGATAGTTGTAATCTCACACCCCACCTGAAGCATGTATTCTGAAACAACAGTATTGTTCACTTCTGCCTGGTTTGAACTTCATATAAAAGAATCATACTACATGTATTCTTCAGTGACTTGTGTCTTTCACTCAACATTGTTCTGGAATTGATTCGTGATGATGCCTGTAGCTTAGTTCACACACTTCCACTCCGTACAGTATTTCATGGTATGAATAGACCCACAACTCATATATCCATTGCTAATGGGCATTTGGGTCATTTTTGTTTTTATTTTATAATTATGAACAGCACTGCTGTGAACATTCTTGTATATGCCTCCTAGGCACATGAGCAAGGGTTTCTCCAAGGTACAAGCCTAGGAGTTGAACTGCTGGTTCACAGGCCATCCATGCACTAAACTGGATACTGCCAAGGTGGTTGAACCAATCTACACTCCCAGAGCAGCGTGTGAGTCCACCCTGCATCCTCACCAATGGCTAGCATTGCCCACCTGTTCTCCTCTGCCAATATGGCGGTTGTGAAAAGGTATCTCATTACGGTTTTAATTTACATTTCACTGATTACTCATGAGGTTGAAATTCTTGTTTCAGTGCCATTTGTTTTCTTATCTATGAAATGCCTGTGCCTATCTTTTGTCCATTTTTCTAGTGTTGTCTTCTTTCAGAATTGCAAGAATTCTTTACCTATTCTAGATACTAGTTCTCTTTACAGTCTTTTTGATGAACTGAATGTCTTAAAGTTAACATAGTCAAATTTATCAATCTTTTCCCTTTATGTTTGTGCTTGTTATGTTTTATTTCAGAAATCCTGCTTCTGTCCCACATCATGAAGATATTTTCTAAAAGCTTACAGTTTTTGCTTTTCAGATTTAAGTTTGTAGTCTTCCTGGAACTTTGTCAAAGTGTGAGGCTGAGATCTCATACATCTTTAATACTCCTCCACAGCACCTTGCACAGTACTCTGTATACAATATCTATTTAACAAACAGAATCAAATACTGCTTTGTGTTCAAAGCTCAAATTTCACTTTCAAGGAGAAAACGCCCAAGAAGCTTCTCAAACTTTGTGTCAGCACTTTGAAAAAGTTATTACTGGTGTATCATGACTTTTTGGAATTTCCTTTGCCAATTTTTGTTATACCACTAAACCAAACAGTGGAAGAGCTGAGTGGAAAGAGCAGCAACATGGGAGCTGGAAACCCAGATTCCCAACCAAGATCCGACACTCCTGAGTTTCACATCTCCGTTTGTGTAGCAGGAATTAAAATAACAATAGTATCCCACTCCTGAATGTACACCCAAGAGAACTGAAACCTTATGGTCACACAAAAACTCATACGTGGATATTTACAGCAGCACTTTTCACAATAGCAAAAAAGTGAAAACAACCCAAATGTCCACCTATTGGTGAATGGATAAACAAAATGAGGTACATCCATACAATGGAACACTACTGAACCATAAAAAGGAATGAAGTACTGATACGTGCTAAAACATAGATGACCCTTAAAAACATCATGCTGAGTGAAAGAAGCCAGACGCAGGAGGCTATGTATTACATGACTTCATTTATATGAAATGTCCAGAATAAGCAAATCGATAGGGACAGAAAGTAGATTAGTGGTTGCTAAGGGATGGGGGAAGGAAGCCCAGCGGCATAGTGGTTAAGCGCTTCAAACCCACTATCATTCTTCAGGAGAATGATGTGGCAGTTTGCTTCTGTAAAGATTACAGTCTTAGAAACCCTATGGGGCAGTTCTACTCTGTCCTATAAGGTCGCTGTGAGTCAGAATCGACTTGATGGTGATGGGTTTGGTTTTCATGGGGTAGGGGATGGGGAGAGGGGGAAATTGGAAGTGACTGCTAATGATACTGGATTTCTTTTGGAGGTGATGAAAATGTTCTGGAATTAGATGGTGGTGATGGTTGCACAATATTATGAATATACTAAAAACCACTGAATTCTACATTTTAAACTGGATAAAATGGTGAATTTTGTTACGTGAATTTTACCGCAATAAAAAAAACTACCTGAAAAGAAAATAATAATAGTAGCGCCAGTTTGCTGAACTCTGTGTCCCTGGGTATTAGTATAGCAATTAAGACAATGAGGGCATTAGCGGTTGAATTCTTGAATTCCATGCAGGAGACCCAGGTTTGATGCCCAGCCAATGCATCTAATGCACTGCTACCACCCATCTGTCAGTGGAGGCTTTCGTGTGGTTATGATGCTGAATGGGTTTCAGCGGAGCTTCCAGACTAAGACAGACAAGGAAGAAAGGCCTGGCAATCTACTTCCAAAAATTAGCCAATGAAAACCCTGTGAATCACAGAAGTCCAATCCACAACTGATCATGTGGATGGTACACGACTGGGAAGTTCATTCAGTTGTGCATGAGGTTGCTATGAGTCATGGGCCAACTCAATGGCAGCTGACAACAAACAAGGCCACAGACACTGGGAAAAGACACTGAGTTGGAATCTAGATTCCCCATTTAAGAGCTCTGTGTCTTAAGTGAAGATGAAGTTACTTCACCTCTTTGCTTCCCTTACACTATCTGTCAAATGGGGATAATAGTTCCTGCCTAAGAGTATCATGAGAATTAAATGAGGTAATACATATAAAGCACTTAGAAGAGGGTCTGAACCATAAGTGGCCAATAAACATTAGCTATTAGGCACTAAGATTCACTATTCAATGTTACCTATAAACTATCCGTAGTAGAGCTAAAACTGAGAGCTGACTATGCAAAATACTGTAAGTGCTTTACCCTCTCCCCGACTTTATTCTCTCATCAATCTCATGAGGTAGGGTTACAATCACCCCAGTTTACAGTTGTGGAAATTGAGGCATACAGAAGTAAAATGACATACCCAGGATCCCACAGCTAAGAAGCTGCGGGAATTCAGACCAAGGTCTACCCAAGTCCTGAGCCCTGGCTGGCAGCCTTCAGGCCAGGCTGCCTCCCAGTAATTTGCACACACTCAAGGCGCTGCAGCTGTCTGGGTGACAGGCTGTGTCTGGGCTGCAAGCCCCTTTAGAACAGGGTACTTCCCTCCCGCACTTGGCAGGGCACGTGGCAGGGCCGAGCACACGGGGGGCACCCAGACAAACAATCTATTAGGAATTGCTGTTGCCCTTTCTTTAACAGTTCCATTCTTCTGAATTATTTCTAGTACAGAAAGAAAGACAACAAAATCCTACTCGAACCAAACCGTCTAGAACCGAAAATAAAGCAGCGCTAACAAAGGCGGTGACTTAAAAGCCTCTCCCAGAAAGAGCAGGTTAGGGTCTAGGCGGAGAGAGGGGCTCGCGCTGGGGGAAGGTGGGGCCGCGAGAATTGCCGGGTCCTAAAAGGGAGTTAGAAGCGGGCGGGGGGGTCCTCTGGGTGTGCAACGTGGGGGGCGGGGGGCGTGGAGATGGAGTCTGGGGAAGGGAGCGCTCCAGGACTGGGGGGACGGACTGGCGGGACTGGTCTCGAAGGAGGAGGTGCTGAGGGCAGGTGTCTGAGGGAAGGGTGGAATTGGAGTTTCAGGGGGTCCCAGGAAGCCAAGCGACCCCCGATCCCGGGGGGCGTGGTTGGGGGCGCTGAGGGAGTGTCGGGCCAAGGACTCGGCAGAGGCTGGGGGACGAGGAGAGGGCTGGGTCGGGGGTGCGCGGGGCGCGGGGGGCGCGGTACCTGCAGAGGCGCCGCAGTCTCCGGCCCAGTCCCGCCAGGCCCACGCGGCCACCGCCCCCGTCACCGCCGCCGCATC